TAACCCTGTGTTTTCAATTTTTTTTTTCAAAAACAACCCCGAATTTAAATTTTTACCCATTTTCTCTAAAATTATTTTCAATTTCGTTTTTAATTCATTTTTTCTCAAAAATTTAAAAAAATTAAATTAAAACAACTTAAATTAATAATTTTTATAAATAAAATAATAAAATAAAATCATCCCAGACCGATTTTCGGGCCTACATATTACAATATAACGCATAATTTAGTTGATTATATTGAATAAATCATACAATTTGTTTGTATATCATGCATAAACACTAAAATAAAGAACTTGAGCTCAATATGTATTGGCTAAAATCTTTCCAAGGTTTTTGTCCTTCTTTAGTTCTTTTAGATTGATTCTTGGATGAGCTTTGTGCATTCTTTTAAAGTAATTCTAGTTTTTTTTAAAAAAAAAATTCAAAAGAAAAATAGTGTATTTTTCTCTAATATGTCTCAAATGATTTAGAAGATCCTAACCATTGTTGAGGAATTCTTCCTCTAAAGAACAATTTTTACCTTAAATACCAAAAACAATGGTAGAAGTCTTCAAGTGTAACTATCATCCTCCATCAAGCATGACTTGAGTATATAAATCGTGATTCATATTACATCATTCTATTAAAATTTAAAATAGTTTGGAAATGTTATCACATTCCTTTATACATACAAAATACGAGACTCTACGAGTTTGAATATTTTTATATTGCTAATCCAAAATAATCTTCTAATTTTTCTTTAGCTCCTAGCATTCAAAACATCTTTTGTAACCTTATTGGTTTTCTTATGAAATGATAATAATTCAAGTGAGATTCCACAATTTCAGTAAACCATAACCTAATAGCAACTTAAGTTTAAGACAAGTAAATATATCACCCACGTTTTCATGAATTAAGGCATATTAATATACGCACTTGAAAGTTAAAACTCAAAAACACTTGACACTTTGAAATCATCACAACCTTAAATATTTAACAATTAATCTTTAAATCATAATTTGGAGTATGCTTAAAAAATATGATACTTAAAAACATTTAAAGAGGTTCAATCAAATATTTTCCCACCTTTTGCCCCGGCTTTGAAAATACGTTTCCACACCAGTTGATTTTAACACGTTCATTTCCACTGAGGATACAACAAGCCTCATCTATATGAATAGGTACGACGAACTTCATGGATACCAACACACCCTGCTCATGAATAGATACACAAACTCCATAGATATACAAACCATAATCATATCTTAGATGAGTACAAACAAACTCCTCAAGCAAGTGGTGAACAAAATCCAATCACTTTTTGATTTTGCATGGTTTGGAATCTCATTGTATCAAACTTACACTTGGCATAATCAATTTCAAACCATAACATTGAAACTTTCCCAAGTAACTTCCAAATTTAACCACTTGGCTAAAAACATTCTCAATTTATCAAAATACATTTAGGCATAAGTAATCACATTAGCTTTATTCTTTTGATACACAAATCCACCAAAATCATGAAAATTTTAACTGAAAAATTCCCATAATTCAGAAGCAAAATATTGAGTGAGGACTTCCCCAAAAACAGCACACTTGTTAAGGACAAAAAATCAAAGAAGCACAGGAAACATGGAAAACCGATAAGAGCAGAGAAGGGGAAGAAAGTAGTTCGGCATGTCAGAAATGAGGGAAAGCACCTAAAGCAGAAATAAGATCATTCAAACGCATCCACATCCATTATTTGCCATCTATAATGATAGGTCCACAGACAGGGAAGGTGATGGGAAATGAAGGCAAAACAACGTAGTTTTTTGAAAGCTAATTCAAGAAAGGAGGGCCTGTGCATTTGACCCAAGTGAATTGGGGAAATCAAACGACAACGTTTTAGGCAAGAGGGTTCCGGAAGATAATTACTTCGGACACATCTCGATAAGAGAAGTGGCCACGTGTCCGGGTGTCAGGCACGCCAACATTTAAAATATAATATTTTTTGTTCTAATTTAATTGTTAAATGTATTAAGTTCTTTTAAAATATAATAATTTAATAAAAGTTTTTGTTATAGAGAACAAATTTTGTTTATACACTGTTTAGGTGACACAAAAAAAGACAATATATATATATACACTTGCTTGCAACGTAAATTACAAAATATTAAAAAACAAATTAGTGGTTATTGCAAATATTTTCTCCTTCTTCAATATTTATTATTATAACGTGCAATAGTAAGTTAGCATTTCTGTCAAAATTTTCACAGTTTAAAAAATAACAAATAAAAAAAATTTGTAATTGTTATGATCAAAATTATAAAGTTCAAAGAAAATTTTAAGACACAATTGTAGCATAACCCAAAAATTTGTTAATTGAAGACACTTAAATGTAAGTCTAAGTAAACATATAAGTTCTCGTTTACAATAGCAATAAGTTTTTTTTTTTTTTTATTGTGTAAGTGTATAACTTTGGTCTTTGAATTTTAAAAAAAAGATCTTCTGAATGGACCCAGATGAGGTTACAAATCACCATTTTAAAATTATCTATATGCTTCCACATACAGAATACACTTAAAAGTTAAGTGCTAAGGAATCCACTTGCCTTGGAAGAGTTGCATCACTGTTCCACTCAGGATCCACTCCAACTCAGAGTTTGATAAATTTGCTTGATTGGCAATTATAGACACAGCTTCTTTACCTCCCTTGTAGCCGCATTCAGGAACCACAAATGGAAAGTCACTGCCACAGTAGATTAAGATTTCTAATTATCAATGTTCTAATTTCTACGTAGATGTTGTTTTTCTTCTTCGATTTCACAAATTACCTGCCCCACATGACACGGTTGGCGCCAAAGCAAGAGACCACTTCAGATAGAATAGGAGATAAATCCTCATACGGGAATGGTTTTCGGGACAGCCGAAACAATGCACTGAACTTCACATATACCTGTCAACTTTAAAGTTTCTTATCAGAAATTAAGAAGCCTTGATACTAATTGGATTCTTCAAAATCTAACTGATTAACTTAAGAAAGGCTCGTGATGAGCTTACTCGCTAGACAAACTACACGTAAACAAGGGCCTAAATAAAGGCTTTAAGTTACTAAAGTAAAAAATATGCTAGCAACAATAAAAATGCAAACGTGTTTCTTTTAATCTCATGATTTCATGGAAAAATAATGATTTCCACAAGTCATAGGTCCAAAATTCTAAAGATGTTTGGCTTTCAGGAGGGCAGCAAATGTCAAAGAAACATATAAACATGCACTGTGAAGCACTGGCATCATGTGCCTGCTAGAACATGTACCTGTTGGAATCTGGAAAGCTTTAAAAGCCGAGATAAGGCAAGCTTTTCATCATCATCTCTGCAAAACGAAAGCTGATAAGGTCTTCCAGTATTTACTGTTTCATCTAACAGGAAAATATAACAGGGCTCACATTGGTGGTTTGCAGAAACCCAAATGATCAAGCAATACAACTGTTGAAGGAAATTCTGTGCATAATTCCTCAATTTCTGATATATGCAGATTAAGACCCTAGAAAGTTAAATCATATTAATACATAAACATCCTAGTAGCACACAAGCTAGTGTCTTTTTTTTTCTTTTACATAGAAATAAAGTGTGAAAATAAAATTTTTATTATCGAGTTAAATAAAAGTTCAGATATATCTGTTTTGGGTTGACTGGCTACAGGAAGAACCATAATACCTTCATACACATGAAACCTACTGGTACTCCAAGTTCTCCTGCTCTAGAA